ACAACCAGCCCAACTAACCACACTAACATCCTGAGCAGTTTAAAAGAAGATGGTTTTGAAAAGAAGAATTTTTTTGTAAAGGGGATCTCTTGATCTTATTACGTAACTTGTAATTTCCTCTACATGTCTATTCCAGTAGCAATTATAGTAAATTCACACCCTCCTGCTGTCCTTTCCTGCTAATGTAGGGGAAAAAAAAAACCTATCCATTAGTTTTTCCATTGTTTCACTCATTTTTATGGAAAGGCAAGTGTCATTTGAGTACAGTAAATAACATAATTTGAGCTTGACTAGGTTATATTTCAGCAATCCAGTCACTTCGCTTTGCATCTGTCATCTCTCCAGTTTCTGAGGTGTCTATCACTAATGTGAAGGTGTGCAGAATTGCAGAACAGTAATAACGCTTCTTTGTGGTTTCTTTGGCTTCTGCTGGAGTGAAGTGGTCTGTTGTTTTCTTATATGTAAGATCTGCAAATTCTAATTGTCTTTCCTAAGGTTTAGGACAGTGCTTGCTTTGTTTTACTCTTGTTTTACCTGTTATTTTGTATTTCTGGAAGTATATAAGAAAAACATGGAATATAATCTGAAGGCATAAATGCCCATGAAATGCCTGGTTCTGTCCTAGTAGCATGTGTTATTTTAATTAATCTTCCCAGAGATGAGTGAATAAACCAAGCCTCCTGAATAATTAGTTTTAAAGAAATGGAGTGATTCCTACATACTTACATAACCAGCAAGTAACAGTGACTCTCTTGTCCCAAAAGTGTGTTAGTCAAAGGACCATAGAGTGTGAGTTAAAAAAAATCTGTTTTATATGTGTGATATATGGTAAACTTCCCCTCTCGTGCCCAAAACTGGTTATACTTTATGTTCTTTAAGAAACATAGATCATAGTGTCATCATAGTGTCCGTGGGTGGGTGGGTGGGTAGGTTCATTCATTCATTCATTGAGGGATTGAACCCACGGTCTTTGCACTGAGCTACATCCCAAGTCCTTTTTGTTTTTCATTTTGAGACGATTTCACAAGTTGCTAAGTTGCGCAGGCTAGGTTTAACTTGTGATCTCCTGCCTCAGCCTCCCTTACTGCTGAAATTACAAGCATGCATCACCATACCTAGCTTGTTCTTGGCTTTTATAAATACTGTGTGTTATGAGCATAATAAGATATCAGCAATAGCAACATACCACCACCATCAACCACAATAGGAAAGCAAATAGCTGACATTCCTAGAGCGTGAGTTACGTGCCAGAGACTATCCTTACCTCTTTGTATATATTGCCTTATTTAATGGTTAAAATAACTCCGTGAAGGGTGTGTACAGATGAGAGGGTTGGGGCAGAGGCTGAGAGTTAAGTAACTTGCTTAAATCCAACAACAAATTAATGGCAGAGCTGGAGTATCAGCACACTCTCTTGTGGATTTTGCCATTCTTTCTCAGGAGATATTGTTATCCCAGAGTGAAGAGTTGAAAATGAGTGAAACCAATTCTGATGAAGTTAAGCTGAAAAGGAATTTATTAGGAGGATCTAGAACAGCTCATAGAATAAGTAAAAATCTAGAGAAGCAGATTTAGGAAACAGTCAGAACCATGGAAGATTTGGAAGCAGAAAAGGTGGCTCAATTATGGCACAGGAAGAGTTTGGTCACAGCACAACACTGCCATGGGTATGCACAGGTGCCATGCTGGTGGCCAGAGCCACTGGACACTGGGACCTGCTGCCATCACTGCTGCTACAATAGTTTTTTGACCTTTGCATTGCTCACTATATTCAAAGGTACCCATGGAAGCAATCACTTCAGGAAGCCTAGGTTTTTTTTTTGTTTGTTTTGTTTTGGTTTTTTTCTGGTACCGGGAATCTAACTCATGACCTTGCGCTTGCCAGGCAGGTGCTGTGCCGCTTAGCTAAATCCCCAGCCCCCTAGGTTGTATTTTTTTAAAAAGCCAGTTTTCATATACTTCTTGAATTTGTTGTTCTGCTACATTCTGGGCAGGATGGTAAGAGAAAGGAGCTTAGGTTCAACTTTCTAAATGTTGAACCTTCATGATTAGGATATTTTCTCTGGCAGTCTTGATCCTGTTATGTGGTGAAAGAGGTCAGTAAAATGATTTGAGAAATTGACAGCTCAAATAATGAGAGGGTACTGGCTGCATATTTGTTAAGTAGAGTTATGCACTAAGTGAGCACTTTTGATTCATTTGTTTCAATCCTAGATTAAAGAGCATAACTTCTAAATGGCTGATAAATGCTCAAGTGATAAAATACATCAAATTTTCCTGGTTAAATTTAACTGTAGTTAAAGAAATTCACTGGGTAGTAATCTTTAGCAAAGGGATGGTGGTTTTGTTCATAAAAGTGGTCATGATCAGTATGTTAAGAATTTGTTATAAGGCCAAAGTTCGCTTTGACAAATGCTGTAATAAAATATTTTCTAATTTTATCTGATACTGCAGTGTTTTAAGTTTAATCCGTACAACAGAATTTCTGCCCAGTACAAGCAGTTAGATTAGGACATGAAATAAGATATGACTTTTATCACACATTGCTTAATTGAAACTCATTTGACTAGCAGTCTGAACTTAATGCTATTTTTTACTCAATACTAATTTTATTAAACTTTTTTAGTGCTTATAGTATGTCAGGCAATATGCAAAGTACTTTATCTCTTTTAATCTGTATAATAACCCTGTAAGATAAATACGATACTTTAAGGGTGGAACTGAAGCTGAGAGCAATAACTTGCCTACAATCCCACAGAAGCAGTACAGCCAGGTTTTAGATGCATGTTATCTGTCTGTCTAAACTTCCTCTGCTGGCCCCATTTTATGGTGGAAGAAAGTCATTAAACTACAAGTTGCTGCTGGATTAGCATTCTTGAATTTTTAGATGAGGAAACTGCCTTGTGACTTGTTCTTAGAGAACAGTTTTCTCTTTTTAGATTCAGTAACTCAAGAAATGTCATTTTACCCTAGGTTCACTTTCTGTTAAAAGAATGTAAGTCAGTATCATAGCACAGGATGTGGCTGTTTCCCACATTCTTTTTTTTTTTTTTTTTTTTTTTGTCTTTTTGAGGCAAGGTCTCGCTGTGCAGCTCAGGCTCCCTTGAGCTCACTTTGTAGCCCAGGCCGGCCTTGAACTTGCAGCGATCTTCCTGCCTCAGCCTCCCAGGTGCTGGGATCACAGGTGTGCGCCACCATGCCTGGCTCCAACATTCCTAAATGAGACATCATTGGATATATTGGTCAGATGACTTTCCCACCAGTTGGGCAAAGAGCCAGGGTAAGGTAAATACTGCGGCATCCCACATGCTCTCTAAGTCACAAAACTACCTACTGTTAAGGATTTGTAAAAGTATGTAGTCCTTTCTTGAGAAACCTAATGGGGCACCATCTCCTGGCAGTAATGAACCTCAGACTTACCAGGATTTTTGTGCAGAATATTTGCTTTTACTATATTCAGTTTTTACTTCTGAGCTTCAGTTTATATTCAGCTTTTCTAGGGTTGGGAAGGCATTTTGATTCATTTGCCTTTAACTTTTTGGCTTTGAATGAGTTTGCTGACTTGAGACTAAGTTTTAGTCGTTTATGTGTACTTTTGTAAACTTGTGAATTGCAGAACTCTTGTCTTAGCCTCGAGAATGCTAACCCTGACCCTTGTTAGGAATATTGCTGTCTTGCTCAGTTTAGTCCATGTGCCGCTGGGGGAGTTACTCACTGGTAGAGCACGTGGCTATCATGTGCTTGGCCCTTGGTTTGATCTCCAGTAATATAAAACTCAAACCAAAATGAAAACCAACTACTTCCCGTGAGACACACAGACACAAAGGGAAGAAATAGCCTCATATTGGTGCTGATACTATGGTAATAGCCTGAGTTTGGGTAATGAAGGTGAAGGGTGAAAGCACAAATTTTTTGTCATTGACAAAAGACTGTTAAATATTTTTTCAAAAATTTAGTACTCATTATATCGGTTTATTCATTAAAATTCTGCTACTTTGTTTTTTTTGTTTTTTTTTTTGTTTTTTTTTGTTTTTCTCCGGTACCAGGAACCGAACTCACGACCTTGCGCTTGCCAGGCAGGCGCTTTTGCCGCTGAGCTAAATTTTTTTTTTTTTGTTTTTTTTTGTTTTTCTCCGGTACCAGGAACCGAACTCACGACCTTGCGCTTGCCAGGCAGGCGCTTTTGCCGCTGAGCTAAATCCCCAGCCCCAATTCTGCTACTTTGAATACGAATTGTTTTCCCCTTCGATTTTATTTTGTTATGTATTCTTTTGTGCGTGTGTGTGTGTGTGGTGGGGGGGTTGTGTGTGTTTAATTTAATTGTGTGCTTTCTGGATCCTGTATGGAGCCCATGAAAGCCAGATGTGGTATGAGGTCAGGATAAATGGAGTGAAGGTGACATCCCTGACTGCCTCTGCAGATAACTCTGTGCACATGTCTCCAGGACTACCTGGCCAGGCTTGGTGCTCTTTGATCAGATGTGTAGACATATTTTGTGGCACATGGTACTTTGATTGTCATTAGCAGTGCTCTCAGGAAACATCTGCCTTACATTCTAAGAAGACAACCTACCCATCGCATATGAATGGAAGAATTAATAGGAACCTGAAGAATTTTTTTCTCCAGAGTCTGCAAAGTGGTCATAACACTGTATGTGTGGTAGATAAGTTTGTTTTTTCTTTTAAGTCACCATCATATGGAAGAGGTAGAAATCACATTTAATTTGCATGTCATTATAGTGATATTTAAAAAGCCCCATAACTCTGGACCATGGGCCAGGGCTTACAAATGGTTTCTTGGTGGCAAACTAAGCGTTTCTTGTCACAGGATGTGAATTGCAACAGAATGCTGTAGGCGATATTAAATTGGGGTGAGTTTTAGAAAGTGACAAATGTTTTATGTTTCCTAAATCTGAGCTGAGCTCTCCCAGCTCTGAATGGCTGCCAAGTTGTGTTATCACTTGCCTGCTTTGTAACTGCCTCAATTATTTCCTTCCCCAGCCCTGTATGATGAGATCCGTCAGTTTCGCCAGGCCTGTGGGGAGGCTCATCTCAAAACCATCTTAGCCACAGGAGAACTCGGATCTCTCACTAATGTTTATAAAGCCAGTATGATAGCGATGATGGCAGGTAAGTGTTTTATGTTCAAATAATATTGTGTACTGATGGATGTCTTTAGGAGAAATAAGTAAGTAAAACACATTTGGCTATTAGTAAAAATGCTAACCACTTGGGATCTTGGGGGAGGGGTGAAACATTCTGTGAATCCATGTTCAATGTGAAATGGTCGAAAAACTCTTGGCTTTCCTCCACATTTTTTCCATGGCATTTCTTTGTTGCACTATCCTTAGAAGGCAGTAGATGGCTCTCTTGTTAGTGAATTGCCCTTTGTGCTATTTGATTTCGTCAACATATGTTAGACAGGAATTTATTTAACTCTGACTTTTTCTCTCTGTGAATTTAAGCTTTAGATTATTTTTCTCATACACACACACACACACACACACACACACACACACATACACTACTTGAGCCTGCCCCTGCTTTTGTTTGTGTTAATTTCTCAAAACTTTAGTGTGGTGTATTTTTTCATAGTTTCAAATGTAGATTGACTTGTTCTTTATCTCTACGAACAACAGATATCTCTATTCAGATGTCCAAGTTTGAAACCTAGGAGTCATGCTTGATTCTTTCTTCTCCCTACCTTCACGTAAAACAATGAACAGGTCTTATGAGTTCTACCTTTTTCGTGTGTCTAATGTACCGCCCCTTTCCTGGTCTGTTCTTCGTACTGTTCAGATGATCTTTTAAAAAATGCTAATTTGATTATGGTGCTGTTTGCTTTCAGTCTTTTAGTCACTTCCGTTTTTCTTTCAGACAAAGTAGAAATTCCTTAATTCTTATTTTAAGTAGTCCTTCCTGAGACCCCGCCTGTGCCCTGCTAGCTCACTTCTCTTTTACCCCATAGACCTCAGCCACATCAATTACTTGCCATTTCCTGAAGGTGCCATTTCCATAGTATGGATCTGTCTAGAATGCCTTTTGCCCAAATTACTCCTTAGAATCAAATGCCTTTTGCCCAAATTACTCCTTAGAATCTTTAGATTTAACATAGGCACCACCCTTTTTCAAAGTATCTCCCCTAAGCCACTTCCTTCCCTACCACTTAGCTGATTTTCTCTTCTGTATGTGTCTATATTATTCTGTTAAAACCTCTGTCAGATAACTTACCATACCATGATTGCTGCTAACGTTTTATATGCCCTCCCAGATGCCCCATATTTTGATGAAGATATGTGGCTTCTCTAGTCTTAAATCTGCATTGTCCATCAATGTGAAATGGTCGATCATGGTCATCCTTTAGATTTTTATGCTCTTCTTTACCCTTTGGGTGATTTGTCAATTATTCCCTGCAACTCTACTGAAAATCATCCTACTAGGCATTAATGGTATGATTTTCCCAATCACGCTGCTGGATTCAGAAAATACTTTTCTCATTTAGAGCAAAATCTCTGAAGATACAAGGATAAGAAAGAATTCAAGATTTTTGAGCAGTGGTTTGTTGATGTTGACGTTTCAAAAGTCCACAGTAAAAAAACCTTCTGCCTTAGCCTCCCACATAGCTGGGATTACTCGTGTGCACCACTGGGCCTGGCTGTACACACTTGATTGTTAGCTACATGGTTGGGGTGCGCAGGAGGTTCAGGTACTCATCAGGGTCACATCTCAGTCAGTCTTGAGGTGTCTGTTTCCCCAACTATAAATACAGGCTACAGTGAAATATATTCACCCTGAGAAGCCAGCCAGTCCAGTCCTACTCACCCAGTGCACTGCCTATGCTAGGAGCATGGCATTAGGTTATCAGGCTTTAGAAGCCAGTTCTACCCTTTATCCCTCCTATTTGTAGGAAAGAAAACATGATCAGAAACATGTTCATTGTCTGTCTCTCCATTTCTACTTATTTCCCTGTGTTTTATATCTGCTGCATTTCATCAGTGGCTGTCGAGCATGCACTGTGAGTAATGTAACGGTTTATGGCGTGCTTTATCAGACACTTTTAAATAATATCCCTTAATCTTCACAACAGTCCTGGAGTGGATGAAGACCAGGGGAGTTAGTGGCTTACTAAGGTCACAGTGCTAATGCATTATACATAGCCCTTATTTGAACCCAGGCTTTCTGGTTCCAGGTTTATGGCTTTTTCATTTGTAAAACAGTTATTTTTCCAAGTTTTTGTGCTTGATCGTATCTGAATAAAAGACACAGTCTTTATGAGGTGTCCTGTATGAAAGCATCTAGTCCATTTCCTGGCCTGTAGTTTATCCTACTAAGACATACAGTAGAATTTGTAAAAATTTTGCTCATTTTTATTTATATTTATTTTCAGCAACTTGAAGAACTTTTTAAATTTAAAAAAAATTATATTTTTATTTCATATATGACTCAGAAGAACTCCTGTCCCCCAAATAATTTTGATGAAAGCCAGGTATGGTGTTTTATGCCTGTAATAGCAGCACTGGGGAGGCTGAGGCAAGATTGCCTGGAGTTTGGGGAATGCCTAGGCTACATCTTGAGTTCAAGGCCAGTGAGTTAGCAAGACCTGACTCTAAAAACCAAAAATAATAACAATAATAATGATTATTATTATTTTGATTAAATTCACATTGCTTTCAGCTGGGACTTTTTTTTTCCATGTTGATATATTTTTAAAATCAACTTCATTGAGGCAAGTTTGTATTCGGCAAAATTCATGTATACAGTATGATTTTTGACAGTTTAAGTATACCTGTAACCACTATTCCAATCAAGCAGTAGAACATTTCCATCTCCCAGAAATACCTGATGTTACCCTTTATAGTCAATTCTAATCCTCTCTCCTATTGCCCAAGGTACAACTACTAACTTGATTTTTTTTCACCATGTTCTGTACTGCAGCTGTATCAAGTTTTGAACATCATATTTTTGCAGTTGGTACTACTTTGTGCTTGTTGATTTCCGCCTTGGTAAAGGTGATAGCTATGGAATATTAAGAAATCTGTTTAGAAATATTTCATTGTATAAATATACTGAGTTGCTAAAATTTTTGCTAGAGAGTTGTTTATAATATTGTCTTCTTTGGCTGATATCTGTAGGGTTTGTAGTTATATCTCATTCTTCGTTCCTGATGTTATTTTTTTCTTTCCTGTTGTCCTTCCCTTTTCCTCCTCCCCTGCTGTCCCTCATCCCTTTTTTCCTCTAGAGTTTTGCTCTGCTGTTTTTCCTTTCTTGGTTAAAGTATTTTCTAGTTTCCTTTGTGACCTAATGCTATATTCCTGGCCTATAGTTTATCCTTGAGATTATACAACAGAATTTTTAAAAATAATGTTCATTTTAATTTATATTTACTTTAGAATGCTTTCTAAAGTGTTATTTAAATTAAGATGTTCGATTTTCAAATATTTAATGCTTTTATATGTGTTTTAGTGTTAATTTATAGTTTACAATTCTGTTAATTTCAGGGATTATTAGATTTTTTTCTTTTGAAATTGAATTATTTTGTAACATGATTTCTTTAGGCATCTGCTTTAAGTGCACTTAAAGTATGTATATTGTGGATGTTAATGCAGATGTCATTGTCAGGCTAAGTTGGTTGATAGCTTTTTTCAAATTTTTTTTTTTGTTGTTGTTTTTTGTCTTTTTGAGACAGGGTTTCACTATGTAGTTCGGGCTGGCCTTGAGCTCACTTTGTAGCCTAGACTGGTCTCGATCCTCCTGCCTCAGCATCCTGAGTGCTGGGATTACAGGCATCCACCACCATGCCTGGCCTCCTTGTTTTAGTATTAAAATCTCCAGATATAATTATAGATTTTTCTCCATATCCATATCCCTTCAGAATATCATTTGTTTTCTTCATGTATTGTAGAGCTCTGTTATTAGGTATATATACACTTTCAGGATTATGGTGTTTACCTCTTGAATTAGCAAGTTCATCAGTATGAATGTTCTCATTATCCCTGGTACTAGTGCTTTTCTGAACGTCCTCTTGGTTTAATATTAATTCAGCCACACTAGCTTTTTTGTGCTTCCTATTTGCATGGTGCCTGTTTTCCAAGTCTTTTATTTTTAACCCATTGGTGACTACATATTTATAAAGTATGTCTCTTAATAGAATGGAATCCTGTCATTTGTGACAAAGTGGGTGTGACTGCTGAGCTTGATGTTAACTCAAGTAAGCCAGGCACTGAATGACAATTACCACGTGGGCTTGCTAGGATGTGCAGGCTACAGCAGTTGATGTCAGAGAAGTTGAGAGAAGAATCATGGTGCCCAGAGGATAGGGAGTGTGGAGGGGAGGGGCATGGGCAAAGGTTGATCAGCGGGATCTGCGTTATAGTTAGGAAAGAGAAAGAAGTTCTGCTGTGCACAGCAGGGTTACTGCTTTTACCATGAATGCACTCTTCATCTCAGAAAACTACAAGGAAGGATTTTAGAAATTTTACCATAAAGAAATGATAATTTTTCTAAACTTTGGTGGTACTGGGGATAAAATACAGAACCATCACACCAAGCTACATTCCCACCCTATACCTCTTTAATATATTTTATCTTGACACAAGATCTTGTCAAGTGGCTAAGTTGCCCTGGTGGGGCCTGAACTTGTGATCCTCCTTTCTCAGTCTCTCAGAGTGCTGGGATTACTGGTGTGCCCAGCCTAACAAATGATGAATATTGGAGAAAATAGATATGTGTTTTTCTAAATTTAAACATTCTGCAATATGTACATATAGCAAAATATTTCTTATTACTGCAGTAATGTGTATAATTTTTAGTTTTTTTGTATCAGTTAAATAAATTTAGTCTAGAAAATCAAGAAGAAAAATAAGTTTATCTCTTAGAGGCAGCTCTTTGAAAAGTTCCTTAAGATAGTTTCTCCTTTTTAATTAGCGTGCTTTGTCCATTTTACTTTCCATATAGCTATTGATGTAGTATTTAAGTCTGCCATCTTGCATGTTATTTCCTTTTTGTTTTGATCTACTTTTTTTGTTCCTTTTTTTTCTTATCCCCTTTGGGTTCACCAAATATTTTATAGCTTTTCTTTTTATTTCTTAGACTGCATTCTTATCTCCAATCTCTCTGTATTTTAAGTGGTT